AACCAAAATCTCCTAAAAAGGAGAAGGAAAAATTCCTAGTTCTCTTCGATCCTGAAACAGAAACTTATTATCGAGTCAACAGAAGCAAGCTCAACCTCGAATACGAGGAGCCTGCTGATGAGGAAGACCTCGTAAGAGAACATGAGCGCATCAGCGCTCGGATTCGAGAAAATACCAAGCACCGAATCTCGAAGTCACCGTCTAACCCGGCTATGCAACAGGAAATGCAGGAAAGAATCTGGGTTAGTCGATGGAATCGAAAAATCCGAAGTCCACTCATGATCAAAGATTCTGAGGCTCCTGACGAAGAGGAATGGGACAGACCCAGAGAGTCAGCATCTTCCTCCTCTGCGCCTCCTAACAAGGAGAGATTTGTAGGAGTACGCAGGACAGCCATGAGCCTTAACCAAAGGATACGAATGTTGCCTCGACCAGACAACCCTCTCTGCGATCTTTGCAAACAGCCTACAGGCTATTTTTGCTATTCCTGTGGCACGATTGTATGTGCAGACTGTCGACTTACCCCACAGGGTAAACAACGAATGTGCGAGTGCGTCTTGCCAATCGATTGCCTTGAGACCTCCAAAGTGAGAGCAGGAATGACCTCAGAAGAGCGTCGGTTTTTATACGAGGCCATCCTCACACATGAGGACGTAGATTTGGCAGTCCAGAAAATCAACATGTATTGCGAATACGCAAGAAGTCTGTTGAAAAGGACCATCCAGGCGTTGATCCATGCAGCCTTGATGATATTAGGAACAATCCTCCGAATACGTATGACAGCTCCACAGAGGCTCCAACTCTGGAGGAATATAAGAGCATTAACAAGAGTCACATCAATATCAGGGACTCAAGAACAAGCCACCCGGCTTCTTTTCTCTCTCTTACTGGCCACGAAGACAAACTGGTGCTTGATGCACATTACGAGATAGTTCGCAATAGGATGGCCGGTGTCAATGAGAAGAGAGAATACATTGAAGGCTCAAACCCAGACAGCGTATCGCTAAACCTAGTGGTATTCAACTGGGGAAATATGGATCGAGCGCCGGTGCCCGCAGGGAATCCCAAAAAGAAGCTCAAACCTGAGAAGGGATTCGATTATCACCCTCTTATTGACATGTGCTTCAACAATTCAGCTCATATTACCCTCGTACTCGAGGCAGGAGCACTTGCGTCAGAGTATTCGATCGCAACCATGCGACAACATGAATACAGGGGGATGCTAATCCATTCTCCTCCCAAGGAGCCTGAGGCACCCTCGATGTATATTGGAGTCAAGGGTGACCCAACAACAGACATCGCTCTCGTCCACCACTTTTACCGTCATCGAACAATGAAGCCTAAGAATGGTGGTCCCAAGAAGCGACTGTGGGCATGCCACGGTGCGGTATGCCGCCTCACCTTTGGGTACCACAGTACCATACCAGAGGCAAAAGAATGGGTCCACCCATATTCTGGCCAAAGGATGACGAGAGACGAGTTCATGCAGATTATCGGATATGACCCACTCAAGGGCAAAAATCCTGACAAGGATGGACCCACTGATGGCTCTTACCTCTCACCAGAGGCGTGCCTGACACTGTCGAACCTCGACCCCTCGCCGATTCTCTGTGAATGGAACGGCCATGTCGAGGGTGATGAGCCACCAGAGGAAGACTTTGAGTCATACGCAGAGATCTTCTCACAAGAAGCATCGAACGATCTTGACGAGATGTGGTGTACAAAAGGGCCTTACAAGGTCATCACCATCGCGATCGTCCATTTCAACTCGTTCATGACTCATAAGGAAGAACAGAGACGCGAACTGGTGAACGCGTTCCTCAACGAGATTCTCCCTTTTAAACCGGATGTAATAGCGGGAGATCTCAATAATATTGCGTCGAGGCTCACCTTAAAAGGTGGAGACGTTCACCCGCGAAACAGTTTGTTTTCTCTATACCTGGAGAAGAAACTTGCAGCATTCAACAAAATAGCAGGAAGGCACTCACAAGTGCGACATCTTTGCTTGAACAACTCCGACCAGCACAGACTGGCACGTGCAGATCGTCTACCGGCGGACCCGGCGAAGAAAGTTGCTGACCTTGACTGTATCAACAGTTATATCCTTGACTGGAGTAAAACGCCGCACACGGCGTCACCTAGTCCAAGAGAGGTCACACCTGCCGCCGAAAGAACATACTGGGAACGAATCTCAGATATGTGGCAGGACACGAACAACAACAGGGATATTGATATCCGTCTGTTTGTATCAGTCAAGCAGTACTATTCAACTTTTTCTAACCTTGACCTATGGTTGAGTCCCACTGACAAAGATTGGCACAGCCCTTTGGGCTTCACGATACAACCAATCCTTACAAAAGGGAAACACAACCGGTCAGATGCCCAGGTCCAAAAGATCGCTGACAAGCGAAAGGCTTACAAGCAGCGTAATGCTGAATACTGGGGTTACAACGATTCATTCGTTTACTCATCCGGCAACAGCTGGTACGACAAATCGCAACCATCAGGTAGCCATCACAGATATGGAAGATTCTGGGAGTGGCCACAGCCTGAACGTCCCAGCGAGCCTGAAGGTCCTCCTCCAAGAAGGAACCAGGAATCATCGTCCTCTTCACAACAAGATCTACCAAGATCAAGGTCCAGGCCTCAAAGAACCAATATTGTTGACAAGCTCAACATGTCTTTGGAAGAGCTGGATGGACTAGAAGAAGAACCGTCACCAACAAAAAGTGACATCGAAGAACACGAAAGAGAAACATCAAACTTGATGTCTGCTCAGAGAGATGAAGAGGAACAAGAGGACGAATCCTCCAGCCGGAGAAGAAGAAGGAAGGCATCGCGTCCACCGTCTGCTCCGAGCGGCAAGGCACTCAGAACAGCTGCTACAGCAGCGGGGTTGTCGGGCTGGTTCGGACACCGCAACCGAGGTGGAGCAAACGCAGAGTCTACCAAGACTGATGAAACTTCACTTCCAGACTCACTAACCAGTGAGCAAGACTTCTCCGTCTTCAGCATCGCGTGGAATGTGTTCCTGCTGTTAATGGGCTTACACTGGATGTGGAAGCAGATTACCAGGCCTCCTATCAGATGTATGGAGCGCCGACAACCAAAATCAAAAGCAGCAGCGAACCAAAGAGTTCCATTCCTCGAACCCGAGGATGAACCGCAGACGCGTGAACCTTTAGGACCCAACAGGGTCAATTCCGGAGAAACAACTGTCATACATGACAATCAAACGGTAACTATGCCTCTTGCGAAATACACAGACCTCCTCAGAATCGCACAAGCATTGCGAGGCTCTATCCAGAGAGACAAGGAGGAAAGAAAGGAACATCTTGACACCATCCAAGATACTCTATCCAGAGTGGAAATCCTTCTCACAGCACTGAAGGACTCAAGGACAGTCTTTAACCAATTGGTCCATTCCTCACTAGAGATAGAGCGAAGAAATAACAATCTCAAAAATGTCCTCGAGACACTCTTTGACGACCAAAGCTCTGAGGAAGACCAATCAGAATCTGACAATGAAGAAGTCCTAACTCCTTCTGCACCACAGTACTGGAATAGCCTTTATGCCCACGCCTTATCTCCTTCAGGAGATGAAAGTGAAAGATCATGGGCGTCCTCAGACGGACAGCTTGAAAGAAGAAGGGCTGAACGGGCAAAGGCTAAGCAGCCGCAACCGGCAAAAGCCAAGGCAACTCCAGTCAGCTCACAAGCTGCTCCAAAGGCCGAGCCAAAGGCGACAACATCCAACCATGGATATGATACTGTAGATGCCGCCTTCACCAGGGCTGAGAACAGATTACTCGGAATCTTTTCAAGTTCCGAAGAAGACCACTCAGACCCAGATGAGCCACATCCGAATGTCTACGCTCGAGCCTATGATCCAAACCTGGATCCGAATCTGAGATAAGAAAATTCTCAGAGTTTCACAATAGTGAATCACAAGGCTCTAACAAGAGCACAATGAAGGGCTGCATAATTCGGTAGTAGAACATTACCAGACCTGATCTTGTACAGATGATCTCTCTGACCAATATGCATGAGTGTGTGTGCAAAATGAGTGGAGTGTCCTCAGCAGTGTACTTCAGTGCTATACCTAGCATAAATAATATGCTGTTTTTATCATGAGTCCAAACTCCGCAACTGTGACAGTGGGCATAACAGTATATGTGTGAATGTGCGGCCATGCTTCCGGTAAAAGAAAATTAGTGTCTGTTTGAAACCATAAACCTCTAAAGGGGTAGCTCTAACAGGTACCTACAGCAATGGCTGCATGCTCATACATATACATTCCGCTGCCCATTGGCTCACAGTGGTTTTACCATATTGAGACAAGACAAGCTCTCCTTGCGTAGCAAGACAAAACAACTACTGTCCGTGTGCAGGGCGCTGCCCTTTGATCCTTAGGGAATAACTGGTCATACACCTCCTCACAAGGAGTATCCCTTGGGGGTGTATCGGCACAGGGGGGGGGCACCCCCCTCCCCCACCTTATCCCAGGCACAACCACCTTAAAGGAGGGGGGGGGAGGGGGGGGGAGGGGGGGGGAGGGAAGCGCACCTTATCAGTGGAAAACGCATAATGACAAGGGCCCCCCCCCCCCCCCCCCCCCCTACCCCCCACCTTAACTCTTGGACGTCCCACCTGATAAGGTGCAAACCCTGTTTTTTCCCTAGTGCCTTAATACAAGTGAATTGCTAAAGGGCAACTCCCGCGAGCTCCACAGAGCTAGCTTTCGTGATCTGCTTGGTGTGACTGCACTGTACATTGAAAGTCTTGTGCTGTGATCCTGCCTATCCTATCCCATGCCATGACGGCAATATGTGCGATCAGATTGTTAAAACAAATCTCGCCACACTAGTTGTTAGGTTGTACGATAAAGGAGCTGCAGTATAACACAGAACGGCGGATCATCATTCCAGGCTGGAAAATAGCGTGACATCCTGAGCATAGGGCAACTGCCAAACAGGAAAGCGCCAGTCATTTAACGTGACCTCGTCGGCGTCCATCTTCCAGCAGGACCGGCCCGAAAAGCATCCAAAGCACCTGCAGAAGATGCCTTCCGGAACACTCCACGCGGCGGTACTAGCAGGTCTCAGGACCGCACCATGAAGTCAAGGCTTGACACGTGGGCAGTCAAACTACCTTGGCACGTTTGCACACTTTGTCAAGCGCCGTGGTTCAGTGGCATCGCACCAGCTTCAGGGCTTTGCACCGCTGTGCAAGCCGCTTCTAACGGTTTGATTCTGAGCGGCTGCCGAAGACTGGCATGAAGCCAGACAAGGCTTCGGAGGGCGAGAAGCCACCGATCGCCCCGTTTCCTCAATTTCGAATCGTGGCCAGGCAAGAAATCATGCAGCAGTCGTTTCAATCAGGGCGGTGGAAAAGAAGATTTAATGTCCAAGCCATTATTCTCCAAGTCTGGAAGCCCTTGACAAGGAATGGAAATAAACATTGTCATCAAACAAGCCGCCCACAGCAAAAAGCGCCAAATAGGCAGCGAAAGCAAGGAGGACCACAGCAGTTAAGCGGTTCTCGAGGATGTTCGCCGTGGCCCAGTCAATCTCTCCTGATTGACCTGTGCATGCACCAGGAAGAACTGGCGTGAACTCATCTGCCTGTGCCTTCTGTGGGCTCTATAGAGCACGTACTTCAATCAGATCTAGCTATTGGTTCTCTCTCGCCCGCATCATGCTGCTCTGAGGCCACTATGATTGGGAATGAAGGGGGTTGGCCCCATGCAAACCTTGCAATGGTCATCAACCGGTGTGAAGATGGGTTTCGGCTTGCGGCAGCTGGCCTGCCACAGACCTGTTCTCACGCAGCGCCAGGTAAGGGCTGAGCGCAAAAGCACCGAGGAAGAAAGAACCAGCCACGAACCTGGTCCCGCAAGAGGCAATGAGCCACTACATGTTGCATGAATGTGGCTTTGAAGTCCATGGCTAGGGTTACGGCTGAGTACTACGCCCACTACGCCTCCCCTCCGATGTACTTGTTGAACAAACATGTTGCGGTTGAGTGCAAAAGGCTACACATCACACACACACACACACACACGCCAACTTCTTTTATTAAGCGGCGGCAGTGCCGGCGCCGGCGACTGACGATCGGCTCCCGGCAGCAAAGTCGCGGCGTAGATCATCGGCCAGATGCCTTGCACTAAGAGGAAATAGCAGCGGATTGGTGGCGGCGTTGCTGCCACCCCTGCAGGCCTAGCATGTTGAAGATGCAGCAGAAGAGTGGGTTCACCGAGCCGTCGAAGGGCGTTGTGAATATCTGCTGGATCAGAGCCTGTTGAAGACTTGCGCTTGGCAGGAAGTTGAGCTGCACATGGTCATCCAAAGCATGTTCCCCCCTGACCTGATCCGCCACGCGCTCGTCTGGACTCTTTCCAGGCGCCAGGAGCACAGAATAAGCCAACAACGCTATCCAGGTACCTCGCGGAAAGTCGAGCACAATCCCACCCACGGGGTGAAGCAACTCAGGCAGCGATACCTGCAATGGCCAAAGTCCTTGGTAACCAATAGATGAACACTTCTACAAAAGGAAATACACACACACACAAAAGAGAGGTCTACCTCCCAACTTCTATTTAACCGGTGCTAACACCTGCCTGCCAAGTCACCGAATGCGCCAGCGCTTCGGACCAAAAAAGCCATCGCTGGCCTGCAAGGCAAGTTTGCGTACCGAGGAGTGTGCATGGCTTGAGGGGGTTTCGCCCTAAGTCCCAAGAGCAAAAGTACGGATACCGTGGCCTGCAGCCTTGATAAAGGTTGCATGAATTTCTGCGTGGAGGCCGGGAAGGCCCTCAGAGGCTGCTACCATAGCTTGAGACTCTGCCCCTCAATGCTGGCAGTTTCTGTCCCCTCCCAAACAGATCATGATTTTAAACCCTGGCTCCATGCCGTACAAACCAAAAGGCGGCCTCCGACGGAGGCTCCAGGCCCAGCCCGCGCTGCAGCTGCGCCGCTGAGCCCAGGAGGGCCACCCTCAGAAAAACCATCATCCGGCTTGAGTGTCACCCGCATCCTACTCTGGCGGGATGCCCTGAGGGAGGCAGGGAGGGAGGGGAGGGGAGCATTGATTTGTCAAGCTCTCGCTCTCGTACGTCCACACCGAGGCTTTACCCAATCCAGCTTAGCCCTCCTGGCACACCACTGCACCGGGGAGGTTGCTGCTGCATGGGTTATGGCTGTGCTTCCGAAAGCACCCGGACTGTGTAGCTTGACATCGCTGGTCTGAACACGTTTAGTTTGCATGCTGATGACCCGCACCAAGCTCCCGGGGCGAAGTCAACGCATGATCCGTTTAAGGCCGGTAAACTCAGACTGCAAGCGGCATAACCACGTGTGAGAATCCCAGCAAAGGGCAGAAAGAAATTACCTTCATTAGTGTTACGACAATCATGGAGAAGACGCTGTGATGATCACGATTCATGCCAATATCCATAGCATCACAAACATCATGTTCATGATAACTCTCAATACTGAAGCAGAACCAGAAATCAAACGTTCGTTGCTTTTCTTGTCTTACTGAAAAGGTCACTGCTGCGTGAACTGGCTCGCACGCTTTGAAAGATGATATGAACTCCACGAAACCATCTTCAATCGGGGGTTCAGAATGAGTGGACAGAGCACATTTCCCACGCTCACCCTGGCAGGGCAACTGCCGAGATGCGCAACCACACCGGCGGCAGGAGCCGCATACGAGGCAACCTTCCGGCGAAGCAGCCGGCATTCAAGACAGGCGATGCAAATGCAAGCCAGACGTCCCAGAGCGACTGTGTTTACCCGGGCTGGCATCTAGAAAGCACTCCAGGCACATAGGCCAAGAAGCAACCAATCGTTGCCCGGCCTCGACTTCACCAAGAGCCCTAGTGGCCGTCACAGGTGGATGTGGGCTTCTCTCGAGCGCCCCTGCCCTGGACAAAGGCAAACGTGACCTGAGGCATGCGCCAGAAGGCATGGGCTTCACAGCAAGGCCCAAATTCAACATGCACTACACATTAGAAACTCACGCTAACAAGTTACTTCATGTCAAGATCACATACATGCGCTCGTAGCCGCGCTTCGGTTCTTGCAGCTGGCAAACGCCAGGCAAGGCTTGCAAGGCTTCTTCTACCCTAGGTTGCCAGCATGTGCTTCCTCAGCCTGTCAACGCGACAGCAATAGACGAACAGCACACAATTTGAGGGGTCTCGGCGCTCCGGGTGCCGCTGAACTCTTGCGGTAGCCGACTTAGCATCAATGCAAGCCACTGGGGGCCGGGATTGGCAAACGAGAGCGAGACTCCACAGTGCGCAGCACCTGTCAATGTTCAACATTTTGCAACGGCAGCGAAAACACTCCAAATAATGCCAAGTGCGGGTCAACCGCCACCTGCCAGTGCAGCAGCAGCTACCACCCGGCGGCCCTTTGGTCGCC